CTTTATTTGAGAGCTAACGAGAAAACAACTAATCAAATCAATAAAAGCTGATTTCTAGTGATAGAAATCGGCTTCTTCCCTTGGTTCGTTGTCAAAAAGATTTTGATTAATTAGAAATCACCTTCGTTAAATATTATTTCATGGTGAAAGACTCTCTCTCTCTCTCTCTTGTTTTCATGTTCTTTCATATTTATTTTTTTATTTCAAATGAATATTTTAAATAATAATCACATTGTTTTATATATTATTATTATTATTATTATTATGATTTATTCTCAATAAATATCAAGTTAGGCGAAAAATATCCTTCTTACCTATATGAATACTATCACTATTTATTAGTTTTATTTTACTTCAGTAAACATATCTATAGATAGACTGATTATCTGTTTGATCTTAAACAATCGCACTTATACTCAATCAAATAAATTATAATCACTAACTTCTTTAGAATTAATTCTCTAAATAGTATAAATGAATATATTAAATAAAGATAATAAATGAAATGCGTGTTATGACCGAAGTGTTCCCCTTCGATCATAAGACGGAACGAACGAATAATACACACTTCTTTCTAGTATAGTGATAGTATAGCTGCCCGGAAAGTAGAAGACGTTGGTTCGATTCTATTGGAGGAAGATTATCCTTTTGTTCGGTTCTGTTATCATACCATCACGTTGCTGTCTCGCTGATAACTGAGCGTAAAATAAAGAAAGAGAAATAAAGACATAACAATGCGCATCTGTCTGTACTCATACAATACTTAACTAGTAAATTAAATTAGAAAAAAAAGACTTTTCTTATGTGAATTTTTTACGGTGTAAATTTAAATAACAAAAATCAGAATCATTGCTAAGATTTTCTACTAGTAATGAATTACATTAATTAATCATAGTGATGTAAAAACAGTGAAGATATGTAAAAAGATTGTAAATGATAATGTAGATGTTAATCAATTACCAGATTAAGTTTGTATTTATTGATATTTTTCACTTGATGAATATAATCTTATATTTTTTTAAACAAATTTTGTAACTATTCGAACATGAATACTACATCTTTCTTTAGTCATATATTCGTCTTCAAAGAACATATGCAAAGTATTGATTGATCAAAGCAGAGATTTTATCTCATTGAAAGGACAGTTATGATTTTACTTTTTTTTTCTATTAAACAATTCAACTATTGAAATATGTTTATGTAAATAACAGAACAAAAATTTAAATCAATACAATTAGAATTGAACCACATATTGTTTCCAATTTTTTCGAATATGTTTATTTATTTGATTGATTAATTTGATATAGAGATAATGTAAAAGCATCTGTGTTAAATTTATTTGTATATTGAAGTTTTAATGAAGCAATCACTTCGTATGCATTACATAAATGATTCATAAGCATATCAATTTACATTTGGTCGTATGGATTGAGTGTGGATATGGATCTTCTCTTCACTCATATTTATACCTTCAGTTGCATGCCTATATGAAGATGAAACCATGTGAAACTTATTCTCGTTTTCAACACACTCAAACTACTGATTTTGAGGAATTAAAGTACGAAATGTTATCTTTATTGTAAAAATCTGACCAGAATCGAGTCTGTCAAAAGGTAAAACGATTTAACATTAAGTGAAAAATTTATAAGTCATAGGAATATGATCAAGTATCTTTACACGATCAAGTATTTATTGTTCATTATAGATACTGTCAACATTTATTAACTAATGATGAGAAGCAGAAACTTCAATTTTGAGTTTAAGTTATGATTAAATGAGACTTAGTTTTTAAAATGGAATCAAATTTTGAGCTTTTTTTTAATAAAACATATTCCATTAGACTGTTTCTATCTATATTTGAATACTTTTAAAGTGTGATAAAACGTTTCTAAGTTGTTATTGATCACGTTCGTAATCTATACTGACTAATCATCAATATCACATCGTATGTTTTCTTTATTCGACAAGAAAATTTTATCCGCCGTTGTTGAATTTCAATATCATTCCGAGTCAGATATATAAAATAATATGGCATCATCAGAACATTAGTTCTTTTTATTTATAATAAGAGTAATCATCGAATATGAAACTTTATTTGTTCTGTTGAAAACTCATTACTTGATAAGCTATCGTAAGGCTGTATTTTACATAATGTAATCCATTTGAGAAAGCGCTACTGATAGAAGGAACAAGGCATGTTAAGTTGAAATTTTCAGGAGATACACATCATTATATAGTGTACCCATAGTAAAAATTTTAGACCTATATCATAATTCTTATCATGAGTTATGAAGCACTAAATTTTCCTGAAATGTGAAGTTTTTCTCGGATTTCCATTTTTCTCATATTAAATGAGTCATACAAAAATAAGGCTTCAATATTTTGAGCTTAAATTTATATGATGACTATAACTTATAAAGTTATATGTGCATAGAAAATTACAGCTCAATTGATCTCGTCGTTCTTGAGATATGGTCCTGTCAAGATTCCGTATTGAGCGAAGTGCTGATTTTTAGTGCTTTTCATAAAAACACTAAAAAAATCAACAATTCAATGTTTTTGAAAAACGGCTTTCATCAAAGTTCATAAAACTCTTCCCTCTACAACAATATTCTAAATTGAGCGAAATTGAAAGATATCGATTAAGCAGATTCGTTTATGACTTCTATTGACTTGCTTTTAAGAAGAAGAATTTTTTTTTTTTATTTAGTTAAATAATAATCATAAATTATTTCATATGTATTCAATTGAATCAATTATTATTCAACAATTATTCAAATAGGTTGATCTTTTTATTTATTCTATCCGAATGAAATTAATCGATTTTTTTGTTTTAGATTTTTTTATATAACTGATGTTCAAACTCTTCGTGGATTACTTGTACAAAGTGATTGTCGTAATTGAAGTAAAGCTCTTCAAATACGGTATATTTTATTTGAAATAATATAAAAATCAAAGAAAGATTTTGTTTCTTTTTTTTTTTTTTTTTTTTTTTCTTAGTTATAATATAAAACATTTGACAGAATGATTATATGATTAAAATTAACAAGATAGTGATGCTACTGATTGCATTTTTTTTTTGATTAACACAAGTTGTTTAATTATTTCTTTGTAAAAAAAAAAGATGAAGCAAACATTTGGAATGTTTACACTAAACTTATAATTGTTCAAGTAAAGATCATTTTTTCTAATCTATTATATCAAAACACGAAAATTTTACTCACTCATTCACATAACTAAAACAAAATAGTAATTTAGATAAATCAATATTATCTTATTTTATTCTTTATTCTTAAACAATATGAATTTATATATATATATCTTAGAACTCAGTTTTGGTGATATAAATGTTTGCAGTCTTTAAGGGAAATATTCTGAATATAAAATTGAAATAGCTGTTCTTCTTACTGCCAAAGATCGCTTAACAACAACAAAAGTTGTAAAAAGTTGATCTCGTTGAAATAATATTAAAGAATAACTAACTATATTTATCCACGACGTACAAATGACAACATATTTTATTTCGAAATAAATCTAATATTGTTGCCTAATTGTGAATCTTTTATAATGTTATTAAATAATTACTGAAATAATTAAATCGAATAAAATATCGTAGTTTCCAATATCGAAAGAAACAAATGTTTTTTAAATGAAGATATACTGATTTGAACTTCTGGAATTCAGTAAAGTTAAGATCTTACTTGAGACAACACGAGAAAATATCAAATTGAACTTTATCTGTTAATACCGGTACATTACTTTAAACTTCTTATATTTATTTCCTAAGTCAAATAAAAGAGTCAACATATAATCAACTTTAATTCTCTTGTTTATTGAAAAATAATTATTAATTCTATAGAAGAAACAAAAAAATAACCTAAAGAATTCGATCTCTAGTACCACAAATACATATCACGATTTACAAGTTTAATCGAATAATCATCAAGTAGATTTTCTTTTTCAATCATTACAGTTAATTGCTTTAAATATATTACAGATATTTCAAAAACACATAAAAAAAACAAATAATGTGTCTTAGAGTATCTGTTTAATAATACATGTTTAATTATTGGTCGAATTTCTTTGCTTTTCATTCCAATATTTAAATAATTCAATTGACGAAATAAATCAACAATCAATTGAATATCTTCTAATGTACATTCATGACGAAGTTCGAAAGTTTTAATTCTATTTGTATGTAATACATGTCGAAAAGTATCAGTTTCTCTAATTGCACTTGGATCAATATTATCAAGAGATAAAAAATCACTTTTAAATGTATGTAAATGTGGTGTCAAATATAATACATCAAGAAATTGATCAAATTTAATATGAAAATTTTTAATAATTAATTTGGTAAGTTGACGTAAGGGAACAATACTATTTAGTGTTTGTACTAATGAATCATCAAGTTTTTCAAGACAATGTTTAATTGTTAATTCCGTAGCATTTGGAAAATAATTGGCTGGATTCTTATTTGCTTTTGTACTACCCAGGTCAATCAATCCTAACTAACGGATTCCGGTGCGGATATCGCCGGAATCTGGCAAAACCCGACAAGAATAGACAGGATTCGGTCGGATTTTGCCGGATTCCGACGATATCCGACGTCGGAATCCGTTAGTTAGGATTCCGGCAAAATTTGTATCGGTTCCAGCCAGAATTATTTGCGACCGACAGGATCCGATCTGGCGTGATTGACCTGGGTACAAATAAATACGTGTTTAACTGAATTTAAATTTGTTTCTTGAGCAGATTGACAAATTTGTTTATGTAATTGCCAATAAAATGTAAAATCTTTTCGTCTAGAAAAAAAAATCAAGTTAATGCTAATCCATTTCTACAGATTACCAGAACTTTGTCAATAAGTTTTTCACTAATCAGACTCTCGCCAGCTAGAAATGTGACATCTCTATATCACCTAATGGAGTTGTCTATATTGTTTCGCTCTTTTTAAATTAGTTGATATTACTAAAAATATCAATTTTTTATCTTACACATTAGTTTTATGACACCTCTATTTTAGGCTACATAAACAAAAATGCAATTACACAGCGGAATAAATAAATTTTTTCATGCAGTTCTCCTAAAAATCTTGGTTTGAATTCAAATATTCTATTACAATGCTTAAATATATTTAAGATTATGTGCAAAATATCAGATGTCCAAGTCTTGTTCTTTACTATATTCTGCCATTTCATTTATGCTAATTGCAATAACTTCCCATATAATACGAATATAATCGTATGAAAAATGGTATGTTTTATAAACATAGAAGAAATGATAGAATACAGCAAAGGGAAAGACTTGGAAGTCTAAAATGTTGCATATAATCCTAAATCTGTTTAAGCATTATAACAGAATACTTGAACTCAAACTGTGACTTTTAGAAGAACTGAGTGAAAAAAGTTTTCTAGCTTCCCATGTATAAATACCATAGTGGTAGCAAAACTACCCAGGGTTAAGGATTCCAGCTCACTTGAAAACAGCTGCTTATGAAACATCTTTATAAAATGGAGCTGGTCGGTGAAATCCGTATTTATAGAAGCGAGCTAATCATAATTAGTTAAAGTCAGCTCTTCCAACTCAATAAACTGTGAGCTGTCATACATTTATCGTCAATGCACTCGTTGGACATTCCTCAATTGACAAAGTTTAGGTGGACTCTCGTTAACGCTTGTCTAGCTGTACACTAATTGGTCAATCTTTGCTAAAGATTTGCCAATATTAGCAAAAATCCACCGAGCTTTTATTGCTTTGAGAGTCATTTAAAATTGACTAAAGAGTTTTGTATTAACTGCACCTATATTGTTCTTTGAGAATTTGCGGAAATCTACTAAGATTCAATTAATAATGGTGAAAGTCTAGAAGACTCTTTCTAGAGACTTGCAGAGCATAACATTTTCGTAGCCTGGAATCTGTCCTGTGACTCTCATAATTTTGTCCTGATAGTGTAGGACATCTTAGTGATATCCTGTAGATCTTTAACTCTTGCCAACTCATTGATGAAATTCTTACTGACGAAGAGCAAAAATTGTTTTTTACCTATATGGTTCAGTTGAATAAAAAACTCCACTTTGTAACCGTTCAAGCCAATCATGTTGATGTGCAAAAAACCAATCTCGTTCAATCCAAAAGGATGATCTGAATTGATTAATTAAATCATGATAAGTTAATTGATTACGTTGTACACCACCATCATGATGTATATCAAAAATACGTAAATTCGGCATATAAGATGTTATTAAATGTTCCCATCGTTTTGCATCTAAATATGCTGTATCATATTGTGTTGAAATCCGTAAAACTTCAATATCACCAAAAAATGTTTGTACAATTTGTTCGAATTTATTAAATGCAATTAAATAAAGTTTAAGTGAAACATATTTTAAATGTTTTAATAATGAAGTAGCATGTGTTTCACTATTTTCGACACGAGAAGCAGTAAGGTAATTAATTGATAAATGATGAAGTTTTGGAAAGTGATATAATAAATTATTTAATGAATCATTTGGAAAAGGACCATTAATAATAAGAGTTTCAATTGGACTACAATGAAATCTACTAAAATAAACACCTGATAAATCCTGATCGATTCTGATTCGATATGTAATTTTGCCATATTTTAATTTTGGTAAACAAAATATATTAGAAAAAATATCATTTAAATTTTGTACATATTCAGCAAGATTAAGTACTAATGAATGTAAATTTGGTAAGAACATTAATTCATAGAAAATTTTCTTGAGATTTTCCATACTGATATTATCAAGAATTAATGTTTCAAGACAAACAAAATCTAAAATAATACGAGGTGGTGATAAGACAATATCAACAGCAAATGGATTTGATAAAGAAAATATATTAATTCGATGTTTATTTGGAATAACTATATTTCTATGATAATCTTGAAATTTTGATTTTGATACAGCTGGTGTATTTATTGTAATTGGAACACTTGAATAAAGAACTAAATATTGAAATCGTTGATTAAGAGAACAAAAACCATTATAAACATCATAATAATCAAGAAATTCAAATATTTCATATATCATTTCATTTGCCAAATGTTCAAGAATAGATCTAGATGAAATTAAAAAAAAATGAGAAGAATTATAAAATAAAGTAGAATTTTAAATGACTCACCTATTCGATTCAATATTTATATTTCCATTATAATTCAACATTGTGCCGTTTCTTGATTGCATTGTTTGTCACATGTCGAGAGAATAAATAAAAAACGTTATCGACAATTATATGACGACGAAAAAGAAAACATGTGTAGAATAACATTAGACGATCGTTTATATATATCGTATCAAAGTTACACCAGTTAACAATTTTAACGAAGTTATAATTTCCTCGGTGACATTCATCGAAGTTACAACTTTGGCAAAGAATTTGCTGATTATCCTAATTTAAGTGAACTTAAAATCTTCAATTTTAATGGTGAAATTGCTTCACGTTATTTTATAGGTAAATAACTTATACTAATCTGAATAAAGATTTATATAAAAAATTGTAGTATATAGATAGACTAGATAATATTATTTTTTTTTTTTTTTTTTATTTAGTTGAATCACCATTTTGACATATTTTTCAACAACAAATTACAGATCTTATTCTTGTATTTGAAAATAATTTTAATGAAATATCATGTAAACATTATACAACAGATGTATATGGCTATGTTTTGAAATTCTTCGAAAATCTAAAGCATTTATCTATTATAGGATCATTTCTTAAGTCTTTTCCACCTTTAATACTTCGTTATTTACCTTTAACTACTTGATACTCTTCAACTATTTACAAATTATGTATTCATGTAATGTATTATGATGATATTCTTGATTTACTTGATGGTCGTCTCAATCAATTAAATACATTAAATGTTGTTATTATTAATGAGGAATATAATTCAACGAATGTTTACAAAATGGTAAGCTTTGACTTTATTCGATTAATCTTTTCAGTTTAACAAACAAAATACTATTGATCACGATAATAAATTGTTTTTATATTATTATTGATAGATTTTTTTTGTTAATTAATTACCCTTTATTTGAATGAACTATAACTAAATAATTGTAAAACAAATGTTCGTCTAGTTGAAAGAAAAAAAATAAAATAATTGAGTTTCATTGAAACAAACAACAATGATATGTTTGAAGAGTAAGACTGAAAATATTTATTCTCATATAGTTAAAAGATATATGTAGTTAGTTGTTTGACAAAATGACAAAAGATCAAATTTATTTTAATCTAACTTTTCCTTGAGTAGCTGAAAAAAATTCTTGCTTTTTGTTCTTATTTTTAGTCATTTTCGTTATTGTATAATAGAGGAAAAAACAAATAGGACGAGTATTGAAAGGAAAAAAAGGGCCAAAGACAATAAAAAAAATTAAAAATCATGTGAATAATAAATGATAAGAAACAAAGATTATTAAATATAGAAAAGTTTGATCGAAGTAACTTTCATTTGTTGTAAATTGATGAGTTGTTCGATGAAGATTTTAATGATTTATATATTGGAAATAGTCACGTTATATCAGATGATATAACTTGTTTCCTATATAAATAATATTTTTCTCATATATATATATATATATATATATATAACAATAATGAATAATATTCATCTAAAATTTTCGAGTTATTTCAGTATTTATTATTTATTATCTGCTGGATATTTAGAAATACAATATAATTATTTTAG